CAGTCCCATTGAAAATGACCTAGGTCCCTACACGTAAAGCAATTATAAGTTTCGTTATCGCCATGGGTGCGCTTGGGAGATGGTCTGTGGCGTCTGTTTTCTCCGTGTAATACTCGTTAAGTAAATACAGGACGAAGGCTAGTGTCAACTGGTTGACCATGTCCAGCTGGCAACATATGCTGGTATTTATCTAGTTTACTTGCCAATTTCACCAGATTAGCCATGCTTTCTTAATAGGTAAGCTCAGCTTCTGATGGTTTCTCGATGTCAAACCATGATACGCGGTTGGATCTGTTACGAATGTCATTTTCCCGCCCTATAGTTGCTCGATAATTATGTTCTAATTGGGTGACAAAATCCACAGCTTCAGCAACAGTCTTAGGGTTGCGATTAAGGACTACATGTGCGATCTTCGAATTCTTATGGCCCTTGAGAAATGTCTCGGCAGCAAATTCCTCTTGTTATTCAATTTTAGTGACATTACCATATGCAAGCGTCTGACTTCCTCTGCGAATATTTGGATTTTTCCTTCCAAATCGGCTTTGCATGTGTTTAGTCAACTGGTTATAATCTCCGATAATTTCCTGTGGCAAGGTAGTGATAAATTTGCTGCACGAGTGAAAGGAAGTGTAAATGCGTCACTGTCACCGGATCCATTGAAAGTTGGTAGGTTTTCGTGAGCTACGTCAGAACGAGTTAATGAAGCATTCTGATCGCTAGATCTGGGGTTGTTGTTTGATATAGATCCACCACTAAACCCCGGTATGGTATTTGGATTAAAAGTTTCCTGTGGATCAGTTTGGGTTTCATCAGTCATAGACCATGTTTTTGTTCACAATTTGGTTGATGAGTATGGAGCGAGTTGTTGTTAATGTAGATATTCTGTGTTGGAAGATACAGCACTTATTACTTCGCGAAGAGAAGAGCTGAGGCTGCATATATCATCGGATAGCTGACTAAATGAGAAACTCGAGTCCCTCTCATTTAAATCAGGAATGGGAACTTCAGAGGATGGACGATACATTTTGAGAGAATTTTTCTCGATACTTAAAGTCCAAAAGAGTGAGGACTTCTTGAGGATCAAGTTGAATGCCATAACGATCTACCCAGCACACTTCGTAATATCAACCACTTCTTGGCTAAAATGGGAGTAGGGGGGGGACCATCCAATAACAGTGAATATACTTAAACGGGAGTTCAATTGACAAATTGTGTAGTCAAATACCTCTACTTCTTTCGGTATAAAGAAGTCCAGCACAGGAGAAGTAGATTTGTAGCAATGGTGGAGATTATAAATAGTAAAATAGATTAATTTAATTGTCCAATTCTGCGCAATTACAAAATCAATAAGGCGTTTATATACAGCTCAAATAACCGTAGAGGCAACTTGTTGTTCCTGATAACTTGGAATAATATGTCGTCGAGGAACATACGTTTTCTTAGTGATGTCACATGTCCCTGTCCAAACATAAACAACTAAAGGCTTATTGTATCTGTTGTGTATGGTTTGCAACGACAGCAGTTGCAGTTTGTGCACCGGCGAGGCAAATAAACTTTAGGGGTATTTCAGTGGCCGTTTGCTGGTTTTTAAATATAACCCATTGCTGCCAGACAGTAAGACAGCAACGCAATCATAAGGTGTTGCAGGAATCTGCAAAGTATTTCTGTCTAATAAATTTTGAATATAAACTGTACTCATTAATTGGTAAACACTTTGAAAGACGCGGTGAAAACAATAAGTATGGCAAGTAAAAGTTGAGGGAAAAAATTGAAAACTGTAAGCTGAATGATAACGACTGCGCAAACCGTTTAGTATACGACAGCTTGAAAGTAAAATTCCCTTTTTGAAAAAAAACATATCGTGTTTGTTTACAAATAAATGTCTAGTCCGACTGTGAAGAGTTCGCAGTTCAAGGCTGAATACCTCTCACTTCAAACCTAGGTTACAAGTTCAGCGTTGTATGAAATATAGTGTACATTCATTTGTTCTTTCGGCAATAGATCTTAATTACAAATTAGTCAAATTTACTTTTAACCTTGGAATTGGAGGCTTATTACAGGTATATCTATTCAAAATCAATTCAGGACTAATCGTCCTCAAACGATCGTAAGGGTATTTGTTTGAGAATAATTTTTGAAAATAAACTACAGAATTTTATGCAATATGCCTTCTATAATATTACTACGCCACAGAGGAAGTAATGTATGTTTCCACAACAATCGTAATGTTGGGTGTTAGGGTGATATGAGAATAAAAATCCCATAAAAGCGCAGGTCAAGGTCATGAAGTTTATAATAGAATTTTATATAAGTGCTGTTAAACGCGTTCGCCCTTGTACATTTTCGGCTTTTTTTATGTTCGCCCCGAGTTCAGTCGCGTTGGGTCCGTTTGCTCACAATAATTCATCATCCACAAGGTTACTTGTTAGTCTTCCATTCAAATCTTTTCCAATTTGTCGTCAAGAAACTTGCTTCACTAACACATGTTGTTTCTGCAAACGAATCTATATTTCTTAAAGTGTCTAGAATTAACATGAACTTCGAAATAAAGAAATAAATAATGTAAAAACTGCAAAAATGCCTTAAAAGAAAGTGGAAACATGGCCAACTTTCAACTCGATTCGTGCAGCATGGGTTTGAAACTAGTATATGAAAGAGGTCAGTAATGATAAAGATATTGATACTGTTTGACTGAAGTATGCAGTAGAGGTTAGTAATGATACTAATATTGATAGTGTTGACTATAGTATGTAGTAGAGGTCAGAAATGATACAGATATTGATATTGTTTGACTGTAGTATGTAGTAGAGGTCAGTAATAATACAGATATTGATATTGTTTGACTGTAGTATGTAGTCTAGGTCAGTAATAATACAGATATTGATAGTGTTTGACTGTAGTATGTAGTCTAGGTCAGTAATAATACTGATATTGATAGTGTTTGACTGTAGTATGTAGTAGAGGTCAGTAATAATACAGATATTGATATTGTTTGACTGTAGTATGTAGTAGAGGTCAGTAATAATACAGATATTGATATTGCTTGACTGTAGTATGTAGTAGAGGTCAGTAATAATACAGATATTGATATTGTTTGACTGTAGTATGTAGTCTAGGTCAGTAATGATAAAGATATTGATACTCTTTGACTGAAGTATGCAGTAGAGGTTAGTAATGATACTAATATTGATAGTGTTGACTATAGTATGTAGTAGAGGTCAGTAATGATACTGATATTGATAGTGTTTGACTGTAGTATGTAGTAGAGGTTAGTAATAATACAGATATTGATATTGTTTGATTATATTATGTAGTCTAGGCCAGTCATGATACAGATATTGGTAGTGTTTGACAGTAGTTTATAGTAGAGGTCAGTAATGATACAGATATTGATAGTGTTTGATTGTAGTATGTAGTCTAGGTCAGAAATGATGAATGATAACGATATTGATAATGATTGACTATAGTATGTAGTAGAGGTTAAAGGATACAGATAAATTATTTAAGGTGTTTGAAACTAGTATATAGAAGAGGATAGTAATAATACAGATATTGGTAGTGTTTGACTGTAGTTTATAGTAGAGGTCAGTAATGATACAGATATTGATAGTGTTTGACTGTAGTTTATAGTAGAGGTCAGTAATAATACAGATATTGATAGTGTTTGACTGTAGTTTATAGTAGAGGTCAGTAATGATACAGATATTGATAGTGTTTGACTGTAGTATGTAGTCAAGGTCAGTAATGATACAGATATTGATAGTGTTTGACTGTAGTATGTAGTAGAGGTCAGTAATAATACAGATATTGATATTGTTTGATTGTAGTATGTAGTCTAGGCCAGTAATAATACAGATATTGGTAGTGTTTGACTGTAGTTTATAGTAGAGGTCAGTAATGATACAGATATTGATAGTGTTTGACTGTAGTATGTAGTCAAGGTCAGTAATGATACAGATATTGATAGTGTTTGACTGTAGTATGTAGTAGAGGTCAGTAATAATACAGATATTGATATTGTTTGATTGTAGTATGCAGTCTAGGCCAGTAATAATACAGATATTGGTAGTGTTTGACTGTAGTTTACAGTAGAGGTCAGTAATGATACAGATATTGATAGTGTTTGATTGTAGTATGTAGTCTAGGTCAGAAATGATAAATGATAACGATATTGATAATGATTGACTATAGTATGTAGTAGAGGTTAAAGGATACAGATAAATTATTTAAGGTGTTTGAAACTAGTATATAGAAGAGGATAGTAATAATACAGATATTGATAGTGTTTGACTGTAGTTTATAGTAGAGGTCAGTAATGATACAGATATTGATAGTGTTTGACTGTAGTAACGTAGTAGAAGTTAGTAATTGTACATATATTGAAAGTGTTTGACTGTAGTATGTAGTAGAGGTCAGAAATGATAGAGATATTGACAGTGTTTGACTGTAGTATGTACTAGAGGTCAGTAACGATACTGATATTGATACTGAAGTTAGTTTTAACATATTTTATTGGAATTCAAATGGATCAAGTGCAAGTCACGCAAACTTTGATCCCTAACTCCAAACATATAAGTGTTTTACATTGAACAAGATGGTAACAGTAATTTAACAAATGTTTAAGAAAAATACAAATACATTTATAATACAATACAATAAGGCACCGACAAGTTCTAGATGAATCATAAGGATATATATCTTAACAATCAATTATTGTAATACTTTCAATTTGTAAATTGTTGGGATGTTCTAATAAACTGTTGTACATGCTCGAATAATTTAACATTTGAATTATATGAAAGATTAGGATCACCACATAGTATAATGTCATATTTAACAATGTAAAATCTACCAGATTGTTGAGGACTTGACGTTGGATAACATATAATGGACAATCAAAAATATTAGTGATGGGGATATTCCTCTGGAAAGCCATAAGAGCACATTGAATCATCTACTATTTCAAATTTAAAAAGATCACCTTGGTTCGTTAAATTTCGAAGGTTATAAACATGATTAGAATAGGAATTTATTTCATCATTAATATCATTTAAGTATTGAGGTGAATGGCCATGGGTAATTTTGTGGTATGCATTTAATCTTCCTGCTGTCCACCCAGATTCGAAATACAGAGATGCTCTACTGGATTGTTTTGGAAGACCAGTGACAATTCTGGCTGCTTCAAGTTGTATTTCTAATCTATCTACATCACCTAAGCTACACCCGTTTCTCACATAAATATTCAAGAATTTATCTTATGAATACAGTGCCTGCCTGTTAAGTTGATATTTTAATTTTCGTAGTATATTGAGTAATTTAGAGGCACTCTTACACAAATTAGTAATGTGAATTGACCATTTGGCATCCTAGGTGTTTGTGATGGTGTACTATTTGTAACTTTTCATTTCCAAAGTATAAGTTTTTCTAAACTTCGAGTTGAAAACATTACGACTTTAGTTTTGCTTTGGTTAAATTTAACTAGCCATTTATTGACCCAATAATATTTCGAAAACCGGTTCGTGTCAATTGCGTAAGTTTTTGTTTTACTTGTTATAATTTTTCACATCATTGTTAGCGTTATTTATCACCTAAATATATATCTTTGCATTTTTCATCATAACTCTCCTCTTACTTTATATATCCCCAAACCCAGTTTGACTTATTTGCATAATTTGATCCCCACATTTTCACGCTAGCATATACAGTTTCTTCCTGTTACATCCGCTGTACATTCCCTTTCTAACCTCAAGTTATTTTCATTATGCTCCCCAACTACAACAACCACTGGCAAGAAGCCAGACATAGAAACACTAATCGTCAACCAAACCAATATCACGTACCCTACAACGGCCCTGTCTTCCATCGACCTTTACCACCTACCAATCGCCGACCACCAACCAACCCATCCAGCTATATCCCACCCCATCGC